AAAGTTTCGCGGAAAAAAATAGTTGTTTTACTATAAATCACGATCAGCTTCATACACATTATATAACTATCGTAATATTCAAATTCACCAATCTGGCGAATAATCGAAAGTGCTTTTCGTGCTTTTTACTCTCATAATATTTCATTATATAAACGAGTATACAGATGTTCTAAAAGAATGTATAACAGTAGCAACTTCTTCATATAATTTATATGATTTTTTTATATGATTATGATTTTCATATTATTCCTAAATAAATTCCTAAATTCTAAAATGCATTTCAGCTTAACTAAAATTTTAAAAATGTCATCTTTATTGATTAAATTTAATTTATAAAATTCAAATATTTGAATATAATAAATATTTGAATGATTCGCAAGTCAATTTCGATAAAATGTCTTAATTCTATCAAATTCTAAGTAATAATAATAAAAGAATTATATACGTCGATTTATTCCTGAAATCAAATTTTCATTGTGAAAGAATAGTTTTACTTCCTAATCTAATTGTCGCTATTGGTGTACACTTTTCTGAACAGCTATATTATCGAAGTTGACCATTAGTTTGTCTTGCAATTATCTATTCTGGTCCGCATGAAAAAATGATGGTGCACCAATGTGCGTATGTTAATTTCCGTCGATTTAAATACGCTCGTCCCGATCATAGTCATGTATTAACGGGATCAAGCGTTTCGTTCAACTGCAGTATCCAGCAGAAAATATGAGTTGTGCAATTTACGGTTCCGAGTGTGAGTAATTGATCACATTATCCGAGCTCGCTGCTAAAGTTGTAAACGCATACAAATATCCAGTCGCACAGATTATTAACAGTCAGTGGTGTACATTGTATAGTAATTGTATATATATGGATATCAAAATTTTGAAAAGACGTCTACATGATCAAAAAGTGCGTTTTCTGCATGATAGAATAGCGTCGAAGGTGGTAAAGGAAAGAGACTTTTTTGCATCTTCGATACACATCTGCATCCTTATGGGAGATATTTGTAGAGATGGTCGTTATACCATCTAAAAAAAGCAGTTATACTCGTTATATTGCGTTCGCTCGATTTTTGTTCGCATTTGTTCACAGTTTTTATATTAGAGAATAAAAATAAAATAAGTTACTTCGATTCATGATAATAGAAAATGGGTGTGTAGAACTGTATGCATGTCATCTACCCTTCGCTCGATCAGTGAACGACGGCTCCGAACGACAGCCTTTTTTTTTTCAATAAACTCATCTCATCACAAATTTAACGTGAAATGTGGTTACATTTTTATTTATACAGAACGAGCTTGTAATCTTAATAATCCTTAGAGATTTAGTCATCATTTAACGTTAAATGTGCGATAAAGATATGAGCGTTTTTCCGCATACTCTTTCACTCTTTTATTCTATCTCTTTCGCACTTTATCTTTCTTTCTTAATTCATTCGCGGCACATCTCACTCTATCGTGGATTTTACTCTCACTCTTCCTTTCACTTTCCTTATTTTCATCGAGAGGTTTCGATTCGGACGTTAAAAATACAAAAGAAGAAACGACAGAAAAATCAACAGACGTTATTACATTGACACAGCCAAATCTTTGTTTATACATTCGCTTCATCATGCTGTTCCTCTCGGATACGTGACATGGTTGCCAGAGCCAGTTTAAAACTATCATGATCGCTGCAATTAGTCCCACCTGACTTCGGTTAATCCAAGCGATTGGATTAACGATCTTCGATCGCAAAAAATTAATTAAAGAAAAATATTTGATCGTCTATAGTTCAATGAGAAACGTTTTCTACTGAGTCATCTATATTTTCCTCATAATTTTCTAAATTTACGGCCAATTTTCTAATATATATATAGCTGCCCTGAATCATGGTCTTTTTTTGCATAAAATCCGACGATGTCTTAAACTAGCTCAGTTCATCTCGATATTACACGGTGACGTTGCACTTGCGGTTTTTTCTTTTTATTCTTTGTTTCTTGCAGCCTCACATAATTAGGAAGCAATGATCCTCATCTTACGCGAATCCTCTCTTCCCGCTCTGCCCTCTTCTCGCCTCGTTTACCAAACTCAATGAACACTTGGTGGATATTGCGTTTATTGGTGTACTGGACGATACTCCGTGATCGCGACTCGCGGAATTGAGGTCCTTTGGCGAATGCGGCGAATTCCAAACGTTCATTCCTGAATTAACTAATTTATCGTTATTATAAAGAGATCGGCGATACCGGCTAATAAAAGCGAAAGCAAAATATCGATCGTAACAGCAACGAGATTGTAGACAATGCGCGTTCGTACGCGCGTGGAGATATGCATCGATCATAACATCTGTTTAAGTTCATTAAAATTAAAGATTCACCATACGTGCGGCGATCCTACTTGGCCACTGGGAGTCGTCCAGTTCACTGTCCTTACAATATTATTACTCGCTGATTGGCTGACGTGCGTTACAATCGCAGATGGATACATGTCCTCCGCATGTATATAACTGCAATAATCTATTAATCTAATGTATCTTATTTATAACAAACACTGGCTTTCCGTGACTGTGTAACTCGGGAGAGGAAAGGAGTATAACAACACACTACAATATCAGTGTTAACGAAATGGATTCACGCGAATTATATAATCTTAATGCGAGCGTAATATATCCTTTTCGCGTGCATGTACAAAAAATACAGCGCATCTCATTCAGTCCGTTAAAAATGTACATGCGGAAATAATAATAATAATATAATAAGAGCAATAATAAAAATTAAAATAATTAGAGTAATCATTATGTGATAATAATAGTAATAATAATTGGAATAATAATACTTAGCGTCGTTATTATTACTATCATTATCATTATGTATACGCATATATAGGTGTGTCTACATATAAATATTTATGTATATAAGAATGAAATATTTCATCCATATATGCATAAGCAGTATCTCTCTCGCTTCCTCTCTCTCACATATCATACAACACACGCAATACTGCACACACACATACATTCTCTATGTACAAAGAGTAAACAATGAAATATTACACCGCTCATTAATTTTGGATCCCCATTCTCATAACGAGTAATATCATGGAGATATATTGGAGAAACCAACAAATTCTACAATCGACGTAAAAAGTTCTTCATCACTGTCACGTTCTCGAATCGTGGCGTATACAAGCCTTTCGAAAATGTCACATCATATGAATCACATTGCGTATTCATCACGTACCATTACGAACAAGATACTATCAACCCTTTCGGTACGGTAAAGTTCAGTCGAAAATTATTCTCACTAGTCGAGTATAATAAAAGATTTAATAGCACGTAGCTATTAAATGTGTGCCGGAGAATTTCATGTATTTTTAAGAATGTAAGAATGATTTTATGTATTTTTTTTACTCCAGTGAGTGTTTAACAGCGGGTAGTAACTACAGCTACCCTTCATGCCGAAAGGATTAAAAACAATCTTTTGAAAATTAGCGTAATTGCTAAAATTTAAATTAATTTATAACACATTCTTAATTTTTGTATGTTATTATCATCTTGATGCTTCACAGAAATGTGTGTATATATATCTACGACTCAATATTCGATTTTTATTTAAAATTGAATTTATTATCCATTATTTACTATTTTCATTATTATCACTCATATGTATGACTGTAGATACAAGTGACAATTGTGAAAAAAATTGCAATCTCTCGGTTACGTATTTAATGTTACTGCATCGTAGATAGGCATTATTTATAAAGCATCTGTATAATAATAAATTATAAATTTAATACTATATTATAAGCTAATTGTTCACATATTTAAGTCGACGATTGACAGTCGAAAAATTTATATCGATATAATTTATAAAGCCGAAATTCTTTTATCACATTTCCAGATTTCCGGATCTCTGTCATGATTGTCACCTTCGGACTAATATTCTGCCGAAGATTGATTTTCAAAAAGAAAAAGGAGAATTAGTAGAAATATTCGACACAGTAACTTATTGCTTTCTTTAAAAAAAATGATCATCAAAATTATACCTATTACTAGATATTCCTTTTCAAAGTTGAAGAAAAATCTAATTGATTTCCATTCTTCCATTTGTATACTTATATCTTCAATAAGACCCATAAGGCCAGTGGGTCTTATGGGAAAGATATAGTGCAAAGATGATGATAAGTGTATCATCATCTCTGCACTATATCTTTGTAAAAAGGTCATCAAAGAAGGTCAAAATACAGAGTAATCAGCCAGAGATTTTTTTCTACTTGCCAAAGAATCAGAGATTTGCCTAAAAAACCTGAATCTCCAGCCGAAAATCAGAAAGGTGGTAACTGTAATCTCTATTGACAGTCATGAAAATTTACTCAAGATCGATGGTGTTTAATAGTATCTCGTCGGTGGAACAATATATCGATATATATATATATAACACGATATATATATATTTATTTCCTCCACCCTGTCAACTTTAGAATTAGCAGCATAATCTTTCATCTATCTCTTAATTACAGCGTCTCGATAGTAAAAAGGTAGTAAGTAATGATAAAAACAGTAGTAGTACTCTCCTACCGGTATCAACAACATTAACGTAGAAATTGTGGCGGTAATAAAAGTAAAAAAAGAGATAAAACGTGATGGATCGCTTACGTTTATAAAGTATGTTTAAGGATCTACACCTACCGTCCGCATGTATGCGCATATGTATGTTAATATATATGTATATATCTCTCTATGTATGTATAAAGATTCATCGCCATCGTACAAATTTTCAGTCTGTTTCGGCGACACCGCGTCAAATTTTTCTACTATTATACCCTTCTTGCCGCAAACAACGAGAAAACAACGATGTCCCGTGTTCGTTCACGCTATCGACGTTTATGAACACGCGCTGGCACATCTCTCTTTCGCATTACACACACGCTCCTTATTATGTGTGTAAAGTCTCTCAACATTTACTAGATATTACTATATATATATGTATATATACATACATATGTATATATAGAGTTCTCGCCAAGTCTGTTGCAGTCTCGTGTTTTATGTCGCATTGCTCGATACGTCGGGAAAAGTGAAAACGTTCGCACTCGCGATAACCGTTCGCGTCGCTCCCCCGTGTTTTCATGCTAGATAGAAAAACTTTACAGACGTTCGACAGCTCACGACGGGAGAAAATTCTCCCGGGGGATGACATCGAAGCATGCGACCGTTTTTTATTCCCTAACAAGAGGCGAGACACATGACAGCAACGACAGCGACGGCGGTTGCTATAATACTCTAGTAACAAAACTGAAGATCCGCGAAAGTCGTGTCGAGAATTTGTGTGCTAGTTGCGTGTCTCCCAACACGCTCATTTTGGTACACGGTAATAACGCAGGACGAGATAACCCAGGGTCCGGAAAACGATTAGGAACGCCAATAGTACTGCCGTATTTGCCCACAATGGTAGACCAGAACCCTTGACCCCGCCTTGACTCTCCAAAATTGCAGAAACGGGTATCGTTGTACCGTTTCTGCACTCGGCGAATTTACTCGGCTGCGAGCATCTGTTGAAAAGATTATTCGCTCAGTATAACGTTATTCAAGAGATGATTTTTCATCATATTTTTACATTAGAATTCAATAATTTATAATTTGTCATTACTCAATCAATCAAAGAATGTAATTTTAATTGCGTACGTATAATTTTGCGTATTTTGTTTCACATATCTATACATTTATTTTTCGTATACTATATTTAAAAGAATGTTTCCTTTACTTGAATGTTTATCTTTGAAAAAACAATAATTTTCTTGTAAATTCTACTTATCATCGTTAAATTACGATTATCATTTTCGAAATTTATCAAATTTTACAATCATTTGCGTTTGATCCATTTCTATTCTGATCTTTCGTTCAAAAGAATATTTTCAATTTTTTAGCAACTATTCATTTCCATGAAATAAAATTTTTATTACAACCACAATATGAAAAGATAGACGTAACAATATATAAATAAAAAATATAATCTTACGCTATTGGTTCGCCGACGCCGAACTCCAGAATTTGCATATTTTGATAGGCATAATGCATCATACTGATGTACCTAGCCCACGCTAACCATGGTGGGACCGATGTCGCCAAATAACCACCTAGAAGCTGCGTCGAGAGTGTGTAGAGCGCGGACACGGTGATGCCCACCTGCAGATCTTCGCAGCAAGCGCCCACAAAAAATCCGACACTCTGTAAAGCATCATGAAATTAAAGAGCTGGACGCAATAAAATCAACTTGTGTCGAACGGTTGAATAACTGGCCATCTTTCTCCCTGGTTTCGAGAATGGCGAGGTATATATCCTCGTGTATTTTGGTGCAAATTCTCAATCTCGGCTCAAGATAAGCCGAAAGCGTTTGAAAGCGCCTATATATAATATATTTAGCAATTTCCAATAATGTAAAAATAATAATAAAACACAGCTGCGATTATCGATTACTTTCGATATAAACGACTATTGGGTATTTTATATTGTGTGAGGAATAGATATCGCTTATATCACGAGTTTCAAATAGAGTAATTCTTGTTCTTATGTAAGTTTTGATATTTAGGTAATGCTGTATTAAATGTGTTGATAAGTAGTTTCTTTTGATTTAGTTACTAGCTTTTTGAGAGCAATAAATAGCTATATTTTTTTTATTCAATTTATAGTTTTATATCTTTTTTCATAAAAGTAGTGATAAGATAGAATTATTATTATTTATTTTCCTTCTTTTCTGTGATGTAATATGCTTTAAAACAGGTATCATATATTTCAATAAAATGTTAATATTAGATTATTTTATATTATTTTAAAACAAATATGTGCGAAAATTTTTATTTAAAGTTATAAAATCTTGATTTTTATTGACTACAATTATACTTAATGTATTGATTTAATATTCAGAATTTCCCTCACTTTAACAAATATTTTCACATTACATTTATCCAGAAAATTAAGGATTAAAATCAAATTTTTTATCGCTTTTTTATGAGCTTTTTCATATAATTTTTATCGCTTTTTCATATAATTGAAAGCATTATCTAATAGACCAATGTTACGACAAAAATTATATTACATTCTCGGGGATTAATTACACTATTATTGGAGAAGTGATCAATGTGCTTTTGCGAATTTTAATCCAATATCTGAGCATTGTCCAAATCGATATTAATATTTTTTCTATCTATGTTAATGTGTTAATAAAAGTAAAAATTCCGATACTCATCAATCCTTGTGTATATAATTATCTTGCATATAGATAATTATCAAATTTCCCATTACGCTTTGGTATATACTAGTTATTGTTTATTCACAAATTTCGATTCAGTTCAATGTTTCAATGTAACTGAATGGAATATTTAGATGCATAAATCAATCAAAAAACCAAAATTCTATTAAATTCCATTCTGAATCAAAGTTTTTGTTTCGAAATAACATAAAAGAATCATTTATCCGATATCTAATATTAGATACGATCGAACAGGAAATTGTATACCTGTGCGACTACAGTATTGAGTAGCAAGAACGCGAGCAGCGTGATGAAGACTGCTATATTATGGAAGCCCAACATCGGGTAACTAATCATATGGTAGACTGCGGGCAGCGTTATCGTCAGCGGCAGCTCGCCCACCATCTTCGCCAGGTAGTAGGCCGAGAGCCGATAGGATCCTGACAGGCGTTCCTTGTTGATCACCTCACGCTCCGGGGGAACTAGAAAAATATTATCATCATGCATTATTTTCAGAATCATCCCCACGTAGGATTCATGTAGAGTACATCACGCGTTGTTTATAACAAGTTAGGGGTAATGTTAAATTCGGTTTTACAATCAACCCATCAAGAGCGATGCGTTTAACGCTTCATTTCGGACTGTCTTCGCTTTCTGCGGGATAAAAGGATAATTATAAAATGACAGAATTTTAATTTTTTAGTATGAATTTTTCGTAAATCTATTTTTAAATGAATTGTACGACCCGATGCGATAATCGACGTGCGTTCGTGTTCCATTTCTTCTTTTTTCTTCTCAACTTTTCAAATCTCGGATAGCAGTAACATGACTTGTCTAAAATTTGATACAAATTACAAGAGGCACGTTTCATCTGTCAATGTCCCAATTCATTATTTCATTATATTCGAGTACTTTTCTCGGTTTCATGTTATTTTGTGAAAAAGAGATATATTTATTATTTTACAAGCATATATTTGTGTCTGCGCGCTAATTATATGCGAAGAAACATGAATTTAAAGACCTCCTTTACTGAACACATATTAGGTCATGGCATTCCACACGTGCTAATTCTTGATCGAACATTCTCCGATCCTTTGGTGATAAAAGTGAGCCTTACTGAACGGCTGATTGAATACGTTATGATAAAGCCCAATTATTCAATGAATTCCACCTGCTTTTAAAGCATTTTAAACTAAAGTTGAAATTAATGAAAAAGTTCTGAGGGAATAAATTTCATTAATCGAAAAAAAGCTTTTATGATCGGATGCTTCAAGCTAAATTCGCAAATAAATATTTTAATTGTTAATTTATACAATCTACACAATTACATTTTCATGTAACTATTTTGTTGGCTCGTCGCAAATTTGATATTTTATAACTTTGTTTTGTCCAAATGTCTAATTAATGCAGGTATTATCAAGATAATCAGTCTAACCTCGACAATGGATATTTCCTCTTTATGATGGAATTTCAGTTACAAAAGCATAAATGAGAATTAAATTTAACTCACAGCTAGTGAGCGCTCCAAAATGTGCAAAAAGCATCCAGTATGTGTTGCTGAAGAACATCCACCCTTGAATATCATGAATGGCTGCTTCAGTTCTGGGAAGACCCAGCCATAAAAGTCCAGTTAGAAGTCCGAGAGCTACCGTTTGCAGCCAGTGAAGACGCGACAACATTCGCGGTCGTGCCTCTTGAAAATTTCTTTCCGATAATACCTGAAATCAAAGGAAAACATTCTGTTTGTATAAATGAATATAGAAATTTGTAGAATCTCGTCGTAAATTTGCACCAAGTTGTTAATATAATAAATTAAACAATATCATTTTTCAGACCGCGTATGTGAGAGACACAACCGATAAATAAAAGCCCTGTACGGTTGAAGCTATTTAAAGCATTTTAAGATCTAGGGGTCGATTATGTATCTCGAAATGAGGTGAAAATTACAAAAGTGAGCAAATTCACTAGTTATTGACCAATTAAATTATGAGTATTCTAGTGAATTTGCTCACTTTTGTAATTTTCACGTTATTTCGAGATACATAATCGATCCCTAGATCTTAAAATGCTTTAAATAATTCAATCTTGAATCACGAAATATGATATATATGTACTTGACATATATACCACAATTGTAGTCTAACGAACTGTGCACCGAAATATTTCCAGACTAAACACAATTAAACCACTATAGTAAATTTCGCGAATTAAATTAAATTCTAATAATTTCGATGCTCAAACAGGCATCATATTTCAAAGATATTAATAATGCTGAAAAACTGTAATTAAACTTATTCCGAAAATATTACCTCGGCCGGGAGTCAAACCCGGATTTCTTGTATTCCATACGAGCGTCCTGAGCAATTAGACCACCGAGGCCTTAGTAATATTCTTCGTAATAATTTTATAATACGTTACAAACGCACACACGCACGCACGCACGCACACACGCACGCA